TAATCCAAAGGAGGTGGTGTTAACACTAAAATAGATAAAGATTTAATCTCTTCAAAAATATCTGCTTTCTTAGTTTTCAATAAATTGAGTTCAGTAAAAGGACCATTAGCAACTTCTTGAACTTTCACTGTACCAAAATCAGTTGCTTCAAAAAGAAAATGCTGATATTTCTGTATACTTGGTAATTTCTTAAAATAAATTCCTAAAATAGATTTGACATCCAAGTATTGAAAACCTTTTCCACCTTTATAACATTGAGCTTTATTTAATTCAGCTGGGCTAGACTTTTTTACCACCTCAACCACATGATCCAGACAATCTACTCTTGTTCTTCTGTAGAGTTTTTTAATCAAGCCAAAACTACCATCACATTTGAATTTGGTGTGTCCTGGAACCATGAAATTTAGTTCAATGCTTTCATAATAACCACAAATTACTAAATATAAATAAAACCAAACTGTTACATTATTTTTATTTTGTCCACCAGCATTATCACAGGTGATATTTAAATGCTTTTCACCTTTATTCAATTTCTTAATTCCATCAAAAATCATGCTAAGAGTTCCATTATAAGCATGTTAGCCGAAATTGCCTCTCTTAATAAATGATCATTGCCAAATCCAAAACTTTGTTAAATAATTTTTTCTTCTATCAAACGTCTTGACACAACGACTTAACATATTCTTTGATCGCCTTAAACATACCAAAATCTATGGTACCTTCACTATTTTGCCATAAAACTCAACACGATCATTAGCATTAAAACCCAAGAATATTTATTGTTTTAAAAGAATATATATAGTAATTCAATATCAGATATCAATTGAGGCTTAGAGATGGTCGTGATACAGAATTTTATGAATACGACCAATCTCAATATTTGATTTTTTTATCACTTTGGTGGGGTTCAGGTGCCATATACAAGGCGTTCCAACTCCAGGGCCATGCGACCCCATGTAATTCTGTTGCATTATTGTATCATCTGGGGGCGCAAGTCAGATTAGTCTTGTGCACATGAGGAATAACTGTAAAGTGTTCAAGGTAGCGTGCTGCCTTGACATCCATCACACATATCGAATTGTTTCTTTTTCAACAGTCCACAAAACATTTAAATTCCTTTATTTAAATTAAATCCAAAGAATTAAAAGTCTGTTATATTTAGAATGTTAGAATATTTATTTCTCTGTTGTTTGAGATATTCTTATTTGTAATTTTCCAGATTTATTTATTGATTTCCATGATATGTAAAATTATGTGTAACAATTAATTGGTTTATTTTTTTCAAATGTATATGTATAAATTCCAACCACCAGGGTCGGCTTTATTGATACAGAAATACATAGTAATAACACAAGATGCTCAATACTAATAGTTAGTCATCTTCTCGATCCGATGACACTGTGGAACTTCGTTTCTTTAGACACGCTGATCTAGCTATTGGCGCATGTAATAGTAACGAAATGTTAACAATCATGATATTCCTTAATATCATAATGTCTCCACTAATTGAAATACATCTTCACCTATTAGATAACTGCACCGGAATTTTGACAGAGCGTAAGTTATAGAGACGGTGGATGTCATCACCATCTTTAATGAGTATATTAAGGTGCAACGTATCCCCTGCAACCTAGTCCCCTAGTCCATTACATTATCAGAAAAATAAAATAAATTGTGTTACAACTAGATTTTAACCCCTGGAACATAAATAAAATATTTACTATTGCCCTTGCGCAGTTTTAACACCTGTCAAATTTTTATCTTAACTCCTATTCCAAATTTGGAAAAACAAATCAAAAAAAAAATAAATAAAATCAAAAAAAATTTTTTTAAAAATCAATAATTTTCAAAATGACTGCATCAATAGCATCTATACAATTTAATGCAAAAACAACTACAAAACAACAATTTGCATCTACACCAAAAGCATGGATTCATTTTGTAGCGGGAGGGTAGGCATATAAACATTTTAATAGTGATAATTATATGCACACTAACTATTATTATTTTAATTAAACCTTTCTTTCATATATATATATATATATATATTACCTTTGGGATTTTTTTCTTTTAGTCTTGGAGGTATGGTTGGAGCAATTGTAACTTCGCCATTGGATGTAGTTAAGACGCGATTACAGGTTACTAATTAATTGATAATACTTTTTATTATTGTGATTGTTATTATTAGCATTAGTCCCCATTTAAGATGTGATTTTATTTATTTATTTATTTCTCACTTTTTTATTCCACTTTTTGATTTACGAAATTTTCAAAGAATTACTGATTTGTTATATATATGTAATAAAAATATATACATATAAACCAACAATAATAATAAT